TCAAAAATATCAATTTTACTCATTTCTTCTTCGCACCATTTCACCCTCACATCTCCCTCTATTTACACACATTGTTGCACCACCACAATACTGTAGACTCCATGGCCCCCTCCCTACTGAATCGTCAACAAATAGCCTCTAACACCGTCACTATGCACCACTACAATTCATCAAATAAAAAACAATGATTTTTTACCCAATATTTTGTTGATTTATAATGTGTGTGAGAAAGAGATTACCACTGCGCACAACCACTGAAAATTCACTGCATTGGGGTAAAGGCACGGAGGCAAACAAGCAGGCAAGCACCAAATATTTTGTCCAGAAAAATAAAAATCCAAATAGAAAAACAGTCATCATCATAAAAAAAAAATTTAGGGAGTTATGATATAAAATTAGTTTGAGGCTAAGGCCAGGGAGTTCTTCCCAAATTTCTTTTTTTTTTTTTTGTTAATTTCTGCCTTTGGGCTGTTGGTTTTATTCCCAATTGATGTTCCTGAGATCCTAAAAAAAGTTTAAGGATGACAAAAGTTGAAATTCTCGGCCATGGGTGCCCCAAAATATTTCTCACCAAAAAAAAATCTCTGATAGCATAAAAGTTGTTTGTTGTTTTCTATTTCTTTATTTTTTTGGACATAACTTAGGCAGACAGTAGATCAAACAACAAATTATTTTACTACATTAGGATCAGAACATAGCATATCCAAGTCCTATGCTTATTCTCACCAAAAATTAAAAAAAAAAACTCTATGCTTATAGAAGGATTAATGGCGGGTATAGTTTGGACTGTAGAGTTTCTTCAATAGCAAAGAGATGTATTTTTCTTCCCAAATTTCTTTTTTTTTGTTTGTTAAAATAGGTACAGTTTAAGCAGAAATGATTATTTTAGGAAAAGTGAATCTGACTTTTTGATTTTGGACCAACCAACTTCTGACTTGTTCAAGATCACATATTGTACAGACTCTCAACCTCACCTAGTCACCCACCATTGTCCTCCCTTATCAATTTTCCTTCCCGATGAGAGAGAAAGTTAAAGAGCAAATGCCAAAACAAAGACTATAAAAACTTATGGGGGGGGGCGTTAACTCTGAAGGGAGAAGGAGGGGGACATTGGGGGGAGTAGAGAGCTGGAGGGAAGGAAAACATACCTAGGAAGAAGGAGGCAGCAACGACTGAAGGGAGAGAGACCCAAGCAGGCAGAGGGAGACCATGTGAAGCGGCTGAAGGTTCTTGACTCTGGTTTTGGGAAGCCATTAGGGCATAAATTGGGTGGATTTTTTTTGAGGTTTGCATCAAATTTGGAAAAGCCAATTTTAGGTATCTGGGGTATGATTTTGGGAAGTTATGAGTTGAGTGGGAAATTAGGGAGAGAAACAGTACTTCTGTGAAAGCAAAAACCGTGTGAATTGAGTGAGAAATAAATGAGGCAATGAATTTTGGAGAGAATGAGAGAGGGAAAGATAGAAACTTTACAAATTTTAGACTTGGCAGTTAATGAAAATAAAAAATTTAGACAATAAATTTTAGAAAGTAAATTTATATAATAAATTACGGCAAATGTGGTACGTCGGATTAAAACGATCTGAGACGTCAATAGTTCAAGACAGTTTGGGATAACGTCGATCGTTGCATGATGTCCTTTTTGGTAAGGAAACGATCTGGACCGCTCTTTGTCTCAAAAATTCAAAATTGTTCTACTTTATAATATAGATAATAAATTTTTGTATATGATCACCAGTCAATGATACATTAGACGTAGATCCTAGGACATTTAGCCCGATAATTAGGCACTATATGCCGAATTACGTGTTTCTTAGTGTTATTATTATTATTATTTTATTATTATTATCTTCAACATCTCCTATTATAAATTTCTCATCAGTATAGTGGATGTTATACCTGTAGTTGATGCATGTGGAAAAGGAATTGCCTGGTTGCTATAAGATCCATTCAAATAACGGGTTGAATAGTGATGGACTCATGGCAATAGCCTCTTACTATACAACATAAGATTGTCATGCCAAATCGGCCCTCTTGAATAGCCTAAAAGCTCAGCTTCTCGATCTGTAATAATGTCCGAAATAGTCCACATTCATGGCAAACTTAGTTGGGTCCTTTGAAGGTCGGTTTCTTTTTGTAGATTTATTTTGACTTAAGTATACTCAAAAAATTTGTTTGAGGATAAATCTATTTTGATCTCTTTTATCCAAAATATCCTCAATAATTATATTTAATTAAAACTTGTGTAAAAAACCTAACAACTTATAAATTGAAAATTGTATTAGTATTAACAACTCTTCACTTGAAAATTGTATTAGTATTAGTTATTGCATGTGTCTGAAAATACAAAATAATAAAAAATGTTAAACAATAAACATATTTGTATTCATATTCAAAATCAAATTATAAACATAGAAAAGAGAAAAAAATATTTAAACATCGATTTGTAATAGGGGTGAAAGGTGGTGGGCGGCAGTGGTGGTGGTGGTAGGAGACAGTGATGATTGTAGTGGGTGACAATGACTATGGCGGCGACGACGATGGTGGTGGTGGCCGTAGCAACGATGGTGGTGACTAGGGGTGTTTAAATTTCCAATCGGCCGCAAGTTCCTACCCTACTAAACGGCTAGCCGCAAAAATTGAGTAAGAATACGGAAGAGTTTTTAGTCTTCCAACAATTTTCTGGTAAGAATGCGGAATAGCCATCCATTTTCGCATTCCTACCCGTAATAATTTTTTAATATATATATATATATATATTCCTAAACCCTAACCATATGCGAAATAATTATGATTTTAATGTATTTCATATGGTTTAAAATTTAAACTTAAATTAATTGTTATTGTATTTGTGAAACAATGTTAGTGGATTGATGTTTATACTTTCTTGTGTTTTATTATAATTCTTGTTGTAATTGTTTTAGATTTTAGTGTTAATTGATATATTGTGTTGTTAAATTAATACATGTTATTTAATTAAAATGTTAAAATGATCCAAAAATTAATTTTTACAAAAATGTTTACCCGATTAACTGAGTAAGAAGTCGGGTAGGAATATCACACCTGTTGGGTAAGGTAGGACAAAAAAAAATTCTTCCGCAAAATATCGGGTAGGAAGACGGAAGAGCATATTTCCTACTCATAGGGTAGGGTGAACACCCCTAGTGGCGGCGACAGCAATGGTGGTGGTAGAGGTAGTGGTGGGGCGGTTTCAAACACTATTTTTTTTAAAGTATTTATGAAAAATAATTTCTAAAAGTACTTTTAAAAAGTCACTCTAAACACACCTTTAAGGGCCTATTTTTTCTATTAAATTTAGGGTGTTAATATTAGCCGTTAGATTAACTTTAAAATAATATTTAAAGTGATCTCAACCGCGAATAACAAAAGTCATTTTGTTTTATTTTTTGAGATTTGAATTATAACCTACTTTATTATATAAATTAAAATTATGTTTATATATATATATATATATATATATATATATATATATATATATATATATATATATATATATATTAAACAGTAACACGCTCAACAAAAAATTAATAACATCAAACAGTAACATACTCAATAAAAACTTAATTAAAAATTTAATCATTGTAATAGAATGACACTCTCACAACAAAATAAATACTCACATATGGTGTTACTTTATTGTAATAATTAAATTTTTAATTAAAAATTTAATCATTTTAATAAAGTGACACTCCCACAACAGAATAAATACTCACATATGCTGTCACTCTATTGTAATGATTAAATTTTTAATTAAGTTTTTGTTAAACATGTTACTATTTTTTTGTTGAGCGTGTTACTGTTTAATGTTAATATATATATATATAATTTTAATTGTTAGCACAAATTTTAAGTTATGCATTGTTATATTTGAAAATATTGAAACTAACAATAACAGACAATATTTATAGTAAGGATAATTATGAAATATATTTCAAAAATAATTTAAAATATTTTAAAATATATACTTATTTGAAAAAGATAATTTTATGAACTTTAATATTTAAATGTGGTACTTAAAACCAAATAAATTCTAAAAAACGTACTCCCAACCAATTATCCCAAGTTACTAGTTTGGAGTTGTTTATCTGGTCTCAAATGAGTCCACTTGCTTCAGTTTTGTCCGCTGTTGGTTCCAGATACCAATTTTTTTTTTCTTGTCGCTCTTTTGAACTTTTATATGGGAAGGGCAGTGAGGTTCAAAACACTCACGATCTAGCGATTCAACGACAGGCTGTTGTGGTCATTAGGCCAATCATTGCATTGCATCTCATGTGTTTTAATTTATAATGAAAAATTGAATGTTACTCGAGATCAAGTCTATATTTTGTAAATTCATAATATTGAGGATATTAATTAAAATTTTTTAATATTTAAGGGTATCAAAATATTTTTTAAAGTGAAGAGGTTAGGCCTTCTTTTTCTTGTTAAAAAGTATTTAGGTTTTTGTCCGCTGCTCTGAGTTTTGAGTAATGGCGACCGCAACCCTAAGTAATTTTAAACACTAATACTGTTAGAACATAATTTATAAATATAATTTAAAAATATAATGTATTGTTATCGATAAAATAATAATAAATTATATTTAATGATAAGTCCCGTAACATTGCTCAATTTTAAATCATATCCGTGAAGAACAATTAGTTTACAGAATTTGGCACTTTTTGGTCGCCGTGTTGCTTCGTGAGGTCACCATCGCTTGACTGACCACGGCGATGTGGCCCTGAGTTTGTGAAGGAGACATGATATCCCTTGTTGACCTGGAAAAATCGCAAGTACACAAACGCTTTTCTCTTTCCTATGTCTGGGAGTGTTTATGCCCAATTTCTTCACGGCTCTCAAATTCTCCAACTAAACACCCAATCTCTTCTTCTTGTCCTTTTATGTTCCTCTTCTCTCTTTCTAGATATTTCCTTTCAACGTTGAGAATGAGTGAATATAACTTCTGAAAACTCATTTCACAAGTTGTAATACCCACAAAAATGGCAGTCCTAAAGGCAGGAAGTAGACCGCCATGGGTGGGTCTTGCAGCTGCTGCTTGGGTCCAGATCGCTGCTGGGAACGCCTACACTTTCCCTCTCTACTCTCCTGCTCTAAAATCTGTTCTGGGTTTCAATCAGCAACAGCTCACAATTCTTGGAGTGGCCAATGATATTGGAGAGAATGTGGGTATTCTTCCAGGCATCGCCTGCAATAAGTTCCCACCTTGGGCAGTGCTTTTGGTTGGTGTTTGTACTTCTTTCTTGGGGTATGGTGTTATTTGGCTTGCTGTTAGCCAGACTGTTTCCTCCTTGCCTTACTGGGTTGTAAGTTCTCTACTTTCCTCTCTCAACTTCTCTCACATAAAGATGCAGTTTTTGCATACCCATTTGGATTTGTTTGATTAGAACTACTGATAGTTGAGTTTTTAAGTCTTATTTGTACCAATTTGCTGATTTGATTGCCTAAAATTTGTTTTGTTGATTTCTCACCCAATTTTTGGATTGTCATGTTAGATTTCACAAAATTTTGGCCTATCCCACTGGCAGGTGGGATACTAGTTTGGATCTGTTCTACTTGGAATATGTGAAAGGGATACTCAAACTCAAAGTAGAGTCCCGTATATATAGCCAAAAATAATACAGAGTGACTTAAACATCCTTGTAGTTTAGGCAAAATATAAAAATCATAGTAAGGGTAAAAAAGGGAAAAGAAATCCTAATAAACCTAGACTACTATCTATACTCCAACACTCCTCCTCAAGCTAGGCGCAAAAATGTCAACTAAGCCAAGCTTGACAACGGAGTCCCGAAGAATAGACAGAGTGACAGGTTTGGTAAAAACATCCGCAACTTGATCACTGGTCCCCACAAACGATGGAGTAACAAGACCACTGCTGACCTTCTCCCGAAGAAAGTGAACATCGATCTCTATATGCTTCGTTCTCTCATGTAGTACAGAGTCAGAAGCGAGCTGAATAGCAGATTGATTATCACAATATAATGTGGATGGAGAGGTCACTGAAAAACCCAACTCGTCAAGAATCGATCGTAGCCAGATAATCTCACATGTGCCAAATGCCAATGCCCGATACTCTGCCTCTGCAGACGAGCGGGAGACAACTGCCTGCTTCTTGCTCTTCCAAGAGATAAGATGAGTCCCTCGAAAAGCACAGAAACCCGTAGTAGATCGACCATCACATGCTCCCCCATAATCTGAATCTGAATAACAGGCTAGAGAACCGGTCTGAGATCCTGATGCATAAAACAACCCAAGTCCAGGACAAGACTTGAGGTACCGAAGAATATGATAAACTGCATCAAGATGAGGCTGACATGGCCTATGCATGAACTGACTAACTCGGCTGACTGCGAATGAAATGTCCGGCCTAGTATTGGCTAAGTAGATAAGTCTACCTACCAATCTTTGATAAACTGTCGGATCTTTCAACTCCTCACCTTCAGCAGTAAGCTTCAGGTTTGGAATCATAGGTGATGATGCCGGTTTGCACCCCAACATCCCAGTGTCTGAAAGAAGATCCAAAATATACTTTCTCTGAGAAAGAACAATACCTCTGCTTCTACGGGCAACCTCAATCCCAAGAAAGTATCGCAGAAATCCAAGATCCTTCACATCGAAGGCCTTCCCAAGGTCTATCTTGACCTGCGCAGTCCCAGAAACATCATCACCAGTAATAATAATATCATCAACATATACCAGAAGGATGACACACTGTCCAGAGGTATTCCGTCGAATAAAGCAGGTATGATCAGAATGACACCTGGTGAACCCCAATCGTATGACTACATCACTGAAGCGAGAGAACCAGGCTCGTGGCGACTGTTTCAGTCCATAAAGAGACTTACGCAGTCGACATACCTTTCCAGCATACTCCCCCTCACCACGAAAGCCCGGTGGTGCATCCATATAAATAATCTCGTCCAGATCACCGTGAAGAAACGCATTCTTCACATCTAATTGATGAAGAGGCCAAGAGTACTCCGCAGCCAGAGAAATAATTAACCGAACAGTAGTCAATTTTGCCACGGGGGCAAATGTAGCACCAAAGTCACGACCTGGTACCTGAGTAAAGCCCTTCGCCACAAGTCTAGCCTTGTAACGATCAATAGTACCATCTGCCAGAAACTTCAGGGTGTAAACCCAGCGACAGCCAACAGGCTTCACCCCTGAAGGTAAGGAGACAAGATCCCATGTATGATTACGCTGAAGAGCGTCCATCTCTGTCTGCATGGCAAGAACCCACTGGGGCTCCCGCATAGCTTCCGAAATAGAGCGAGGAACCAGCGTATCTGATAAGGCCATAGTATAAGCTCGAAATGTGGGAGACAGATTACCATAAGAAACATAAGCAGAGATCGGATATAAAATCTTGGCGGTCCAACCATATCGATCAACTGGACGGCGATCACGCCTTGGATAACGACGCCCTAAATCACCATCCTCTACTGATAATATCTTATCAGGTAAAGTAACTGGCTCAGCACCTGTAATCTCATCAGTACTAACAACAGGTGCATCAATATGCTCAACAAACTGAGAAGTATTACCTGCATCGCCTGAGGTAGAGGGGATATCAGCAGGGTGATGAGAGCGAGGACAACGAGCATACACCTGCAAAGGAAGAGAGACTGGTAACTCTGTACTGACAGGGATGAGTGACTCCTTGGGAGGAAAAACGGATGACCCTGTAGGGATAGTGATCAATGACTCTGACTCTTGTGGTAATGGGAAGTCAAAGGGAGTATCATCAACTGGAGGGGCAGACAAAGGACTGAAAGGAAAAAAAGGAATATGCTCAAGAAAGGTAACATCTAGACTGTGATACATACGACGCCTAATAGGATCATAACAGCGATACCCCTTAGATTGATGACAATAGCCCACAAAGATACAACGAATCGCTTTATCATCAAGTTTATGACGAGTAGGAGACCGATCCTGAACAAAACATGTGCATCCAAAAACACGAGGGGGGACCGGAAAAAGTGTCCGCTCAGGAAATAAGACCTGTAAGGGAGCCTTATGCTGAAGAACACGACTCGGCGTACGATTGCACAGAAAGGTAGAAGTCAAAACAGCAAAATGCCAATAAGATTTTGGTACCCTCATGCCTCTAAGCAGACAACGTACCATCCCTATCAAACTCCTATTTTTCCTCTCAGCAACACCATTTTGCTCAGGAGTATATGGACAAGTGAGTTGCTGAAGGATACCCTGAGAAGAAAGGTGAGACACTAAAGCATCAGACACATATTCTTTGGCATTATCCGAACGAAGAGCACGAACAATGACATCGAATTGTGTCTTAATCATCTGTAAAAACTGAGTGATTATAGGGAGCACATCAGACTTCCTATGCAAAAGGTAGACCCAAGTACAACGGGTATGATCATCTATAAATGTCACATAATATCTGGCACCTGACAGAGCAGTAACGGGAGAAGGTCCCCAAATATCAGAGTGTATTAGGTCAAATGGCTTGGGTGACTGGTGCATGCGAGGAATATAATTGGCCCTAACATGTTTTGATAGGGAACAGATAACGCAATCAAGTTTACCACCAACACAAGCATTACTCAAAGCAGGAAACAACATACATAAATATTTAAAATTTGTATGTCCAAAACGGTCATGCCACAATTGAACAGTTTGTGGCGAAAAATCATAACGACAACTACTAGGTAAAATACTAGCATGCAAGCTAGGAACAGAAAAAGACAAAGCAGGTGCAGGTGAAGGAATTGGTGAAACTGGAGATGGATTGCCAAGATAATACAGTCCATCTTTCTCATGTCCCTTGATAATAATCCTCCTGGTACTCAGGTCCTGCAAATAACACGAATCAGATAAGAATACAACCGCACAGTGAAAATCTCTGGCTAACTGATGTACAGATAATAGATTCATGGCCAACTTTGGCGCATGAAAAACCGAATGTAATGTAAGGCCATCTGGGAGACGGACTGTACCCCTACTAACAATAGGGGCATGTGTTCCATCTGCTAACTGAACCTGTGTATGTAACGGCTCGTCAAAAGTGGTGAAGTGATGGGCCTCACCTGTCATGTGACCATTCGCACCCGAGTCCAACATCCAAAGGGGAGATGAACTGGCACAAGCGTGAAAGGCACGAGATATACCTGTAGTGGTGACAGCAGCAGTAGTCAGACTCTGAGAAGTCAGAGCAGACATAAGTATATCTAATCGGGAAGTGATAGCATCCATATCACTTTGCCAAGGAGGAGCAGTAGCAGGAGTGGCGGTAGTGGGCGGTGGTATCTCAGCAATAGCAACAGTACGGCTGCGAGAAGGTGGCTTAAGCTCTGGATGGAGCTTCCAGCAAGTAGCCCTGAGATGTCCTGGTCGGCCACAATAATCACATTGACGGGAATCCCCCCGTCTGCGCTGATCTGGGACGCCCTGACGGCGCTGGTCTGAGCGTTGCCCATCCCTGACTAAGGATCCTGAACGGGACCCTACAGCAGTTGCAAGGGCCATCTGGTCAATCGAAGGGGTCAAAGCTGCAACTGGAAGTGATGCAATACGGACTCGACGCTCATGCTGCTCAATCATCCCATACACCTCATAAAGAGAAGGAAGTGTCAACATCGACAAGATCTGAGAACGAGGTCCCTCAAACTCATCACGAAGCCCCATAAGGAACTTGTGAATCCTATCCTCCTGCTCTCGAGTATGCAAGAATGCTGCTCCCTCGGGCTCTATCTTCGGAATAGCAGCAAGAGGACGTAGAGACTCATACTCAAGCCAGCGCTGGGTCAAATAGCCATAATAATCCTGAACGGTCATATCTCCCTGTCGAGCATATGAGAGCTCCTGAGAAAGCTCATAAACACGAACTCCCCGTCCTGACTGAGAATACATCTCTGATAATGCGCTCCATAGCTTCGGAACAGAGCTATGAAACTGATGGATCCTGCAAACAGAGGGCTCCATTGAGCCAAATAACCATCCAAGAATGACACAGTTTTCAGAGAACCACGCAGAATATCCAGGGTCGGCATCAGCTGGCTTTGGGTGAGATCCCGTCAGCCAACCAAGCTTCCCTACACGGCCTAAGAAAAGCTGGAATGAGCGTGACCACTCAGCGAAGTTACGACCATTCAACAATTGTGCCGTAACTTTTTGAGAGATCATGCCCGGTAATGCTGGTAATGCAACTGTGCTAGTAGGCACTGTATACTGGTCAAACATAAAAGTGGAAGTACCCATAGATGTCTCAACGGTAGAGGTGTCAACAGTAGGGTTCTCAAGTCCCTCAGTAGTAGCCATATCAACAACAATACTAGGGCACCCGTGACAGAAAAATAACTCTAAGATAAATAGAGGAATAAAATAAGGGAGAACAATATACCTTCAGTCGAACAGTAGCGACAAATAAGGAAGGTCCAAAAAGCTCCCAAATAATCAAGTCACGGTGCCCAGAAATCCAATAAATATAAATGATCTACTGCATTAAAAGCAGATCAACGGAGAAAAGGATCTGGTGCCTCCTCAAAAAGGCCTAGATATTGCAACTCTA